ATAGACATGTTATCATATTATTATAATATTGTTATTATTCTGACCAACGTTGATTAATGGCAATATTATGATGTTATTATGGTTTTTTGTCATACATTAATTCTATTTCTGCCCAACGGTGATGTAGAATTAATGTAAAAGGATAAATTGTATGTTTTAATTTTGACCATAGTTAGAACCAAAGCATGCAATTGTTGTTATTATATTATGTTCTCATTTTAAAGAGAAATTGTGTTTTCAAGAGGATACTACTTGATGGCTTATATCAAAGATATCCCAACTCTCAAAGGGGATAACTACATTGAATGAAAGAAAAAGATCGACTTGGCCTTCATTTTGGCTGAGGTTGACTGGTTAGTCACCACACCGTGTCCCAAAGAACCTGTGGCACCGGTGAGGGAGACTGATGAGACTAATGTTGCATGGCAGAACAGAGAGCGGGACTTTGCTCCCGTAAAGATGTCTTTTGACCTCTAACATAGAAAGTGGGTCACAACCAATAAGAAATGTTTGGCTGTGATAAAGAATACAATTGAGCCTGCAATAGTGGGCTCAATTCTAGACTGTGACACGGTCACAGAGTACCTAGAAAGAATAAAGAGTCAATTCACTGGCTCTTCAAAGACATATGCAACCCAACTGATCAAGCAGCTGGTGACAGAAAGGTACTCTGGTGACGACAGTGGCATATATTGTTTAATAATAGATGTATTGGTCTTGCCTTCCGACAAGACGAGCTTTATTTGTTATCACTTCACGAAAATATGAATTCCGTATGTGATGTGAATAAGAAAGTATCATCATCGAACAATGCAAACAGAAAACGAAAGAGAACTCCTAATGTATCATCAAAATTATGGCATTGTCGTTTAGGCCATATTTCGAGGGGGAGAATAGAAAATCTAGTTAAGAATGAAATTCTTTCTCCATTGGAGTTCTCTGACTTAGAGCAATGTATAGAATGTATTAAAGGAAAGTATGTAAAGAAAATTAAAAAGGATGCCAAACGAAGCATAGGAATTTTAGAGATAATTCACACAGACATATGTGGTCCTTTTTCTGTGAAAAGTGTGGATGATTATGATTCATTCATAACATTTACAGACGATTACTCTCGTTTTGGCTACATTTATCCAATTAAAGAAAGAACAGAAGCGTTGGATAAATTTAAAATATTTAAGGCAAAAGTTGAAAATCAGCATGATTTAAAGATTAAGATAGTCAGGTCTGACCATGGGGGTACTACGGTCGGCATACCCCATATGGACAAGTTCCTGGACCTTTTGCAAGGTTCTTACAGGAGAATGGTATAGTCGTCCAGTATTCAACACCGGGCGAACCTCAGCGGAATGGAGTAGCTAAAAGGCGTAACCGTACCCTGATGGATATGGTGCGTAGTATGATAAGTTACTCCACCTTACCGTTGAGCCTGTGGATGGAGGCGTTAAAACCCGCCATTCATATTCTCAATAGAGTACCAAGTAAGTCGGTGCTCAAAACACCGTATGAGTTGTGGACAGGAAGAGTACCCTCACTAAATCACTTACGTGTGTGGGGGAGTCCTGCTGAGGCTAAAGTATTTAACCCAAACATTGGGAAGTTAGATCCCAAAACAGTAAGTTGTCATTTCATTGGCTACCAAAAAAAGTCAAAAGGTTTTTGTTTCTACTATCCAGATAGACATACAAAGTTTGTGGAAATAAGACACGCTGTCTTCCTAGAGAATGAAATGATGAGGGGGAGCATGGTAGCTCAAGAAATTGATCTTGTGGAGAAACGGGTGTATGCACCCACTCCGATGGTTCAGGAGCCATTTTTCGAGCTATCTGTTGTTGCTACACCTACAACGCAAGATATTGTGCTGTCAGCACCTGTTGTTATTCCTCCTATGGCAACAATGAATGAGGATGAGGAACTCATGGTTCAGAATCCTACAGAACCTATTGCCACACATGAGGGGGAGCAACAACAGCCTCAAACAGAAAATGTGCCAAATGTGAAGGCCCTTAGAAGGTCTCAAAGAGTTGGAAGATTAGCTATTTCTGATGATTATGAAATCTATAATACTAAAGAGTTTCATATGGAGGGTGATTCCACCTCGTATGAAGAAGCCATGAGAAGCGAACACTCATCAAAGTGGTTGAAAGCTATGAAAGAAGAAATGGAATCTATGAGTTCCAATGGTGTTTGGGATTTAGAACAAATTCCTAAAGGCGCCAAAATAGTAGGCTGCAAATGGGTCTACAAAACAAAATATGACTCCAGAGGGAATATAGAAAGGTTTAAAGCACTACTTGTGGCGAAAGGTTTTACACAAAGAAAGGGGATAGATTACAATGAGACATTTTCTCCAGTCTCATGTAAGGATTCCCTCGGAATTATAATGGCATTAGTGGCACATTATGATTTAGAATTACATCAGATGGATGTAAAGACGGCATTCCTAAATAAAGATTTAGAGGAAAATGTTTACATGGCACAACCAAAAGGTTTTGTTGTAGAAGGAAAGAAAAGAATGGGTTGCCGCCTAAAGAAATCCATTTATGGATTGAAGCAAGCTTCAAGACAGTGAAACTTGAAGTTTGATAGAACAATAAAGAATTTTGTGTTTAAAGAGAATGTTGAGGACAATTGCATTTATGCAAAGTTTAAGAATGGGAGATTTATTTTCCTCGTTCTGTATATGGATGACATTGTACTTGCTAGTAGTGATGTGAGTCTGCTGCAGGAGACAAAGAAATTTTTGTCCTCAAAGTCTGACATGAAAGACCTTGGTGAAGCATCATATGTTTTGGGCATAGAAATTCACCGAGATAGAAAAAATAGGGTATTAGGACTGTCACAAAAGGCATACATAGAAAAAGTATTAAATAAATTCAGTATATATAAATGTAGTCCATCGCCTGCTCCTATAGTCAAGGGCGACAGATATGGGGATTTTCAATGCCCCAGGAATCAGTACGAGCTCGATCAAATGAAAGCGGTTCCATATGCTTCAGCTGTCGGAAGCTTACAGTATGCTCAAGTGTGTACGCGTCCTGACTTAGCTTTTGTTACCGGGTTGCTTGGCAGATTTTAGAGTAATCCAGGAATGGAACACTGGAAATTGGTAAAGAAAGTCTTGCGGTATTTGCAAGGTACGAAAGGCCTCATGTTGATGTATAGAAGATCAGAATCTCTCCAATTGGTGGGGTACTCGGATTCTGATTATGCGGGAGATGATAGAAAATCCACGTCAGGATATGTATTCACTCTCGCAGGAGGAGCTATTTCATAGAAAAGCTCAAAGCAAACTGTCACTACATCATCCACAATGTATGCTGAGTTTGTAGCATGTTATGAGGCATCGGGGCAGGTGAACTGGCTAAAGAAGTTCATACCCGGTTTGAAAGTGGTTGGCGACATCAATAGACCACTGAAGTTATACTGCGATAATAATCCAGCAGTACAGTATGCTCACAACAATAGGTCAAGTGGTGTTGCCAAACATATTGACATAAAGTATTATGTTGTGAAGGATAGAGTCCGGGATCAAATGATAAGTCTTGAGCATATAAGTACCGAAAAGATGCTCGCGGATCTGCTTACAAAAGGCTTACCACCCAACGTGTTCAGAGAACATGTAGCCGGCATGGGTCTAAGGGAAAGCCTATGATTCCTGGACTATAAAGGGCCCAAAAGTTAAAGTATCTATTTCAGATCAGAGACGTGCATTGTAGTTGTTAAATCTATCGGTGATTGACCGTGACGATGAAACATGCTCTATGCATCATCTGTGAAGAAATAAGAAAGGAGAAAATGATTGAAGTTTAAAGTTTAAAAATAAAAGTAATAGTGTGAGATCAAGGGGGAGAATGTTAGAATAATCTCCCAGCCAATAAGCCTAACGGCCTATTGGGCCTTGGTCACGCACCCTGATCGGGGGCGCCCAACCCTACATGGTTGGTGGGCCCCCGTCGCACTGCGCTATATGAAGTGGTGGGGTCGGCGGCTCATAGTACGAGGTTCACCGTGAGCCACTCCGCCCCACCAACAAACCCTAAGTCCGATCTCGAAGAGGGTGCGCAGCCAGCGACGGGAAGTTGCCACCGTCATCACCGTCGGCCTCACTGCACCGCCACCGCGTCACCGGACTTCACCAACTCTTCTCCGACCATCGCTGCCCGTGCGCAGAACGTCACCGACCGAACGAGATGGTCGGATCCTCCTCGACGGCGCCCTCCGATGGTCTGTACACTCCCATCCACTCTCCTCTCTCTATCACTCTGTAGTACGGTTCATTAGGTTTACTACTTGTTCATCCCAAATACAAAGAACCACCCGACTAGATGCTACTCTAGGTGATCTTTGGGTATAACACTACATATATGTATGGTCGTTCCTGAAGATAACAAACATGTACAGTACTTCTGATCATGATGCATGATCAGAAGAAGCTTATGACTTGTTCGGCTGATCTATTAGTCGCTTGTGCTGATTTGTTAGGAGAGAAAAATACTAGAGCTGCATATGAGCAGCCGCCGTACAGTGCTACAGTACCAATCATGGCGATGGCTGTGTACATACAAAACAGACAGATCGGAGAAGCAAGACCGCAAGAAAACCTCCACATGTTTGCAGTAATGTGATGTGGCCGTATCCTATTCTCTGCACTGCACAAGTACGTAACAGCTCTTAGTTGCAGTGTTGGGTTCTGAGTGCAGTATGTTTGCAGGGTTAAGCAAACAGTTCTTTCAAGCACCACCATATGGATCGATATTATAGTACAAGCCAGGATAAAAAGAGGGAGAAGAACGGTCACCCTGTGATGGATCACAGGCATCACAGGGAACCAGGCAGTACGTATACAGCTTACAATTTTTTTTTACACTTAGGTTCTCGGATGCAGCGGCGAGCGTGCATCGATCACGCACAGAGACACAGAGAGCTAGCTATGGACGTAGCCGTAGGCAGCAGCAGCACTGGGGATCGGAGGTGGTAGGGATCGCCGGATGGATCGGCTAGAAGAAGGAGCGTTTGGTGGGCACCCTGCCGACGGCCTTCATGAAGTTTGCGAGCTCCAGCACCTTGGCCAGCTTGAGGCCCCGCTTGGCCTCCGCCGACGCCCGCTTCTCCTCCGCCTTGCGCCGCGCCTTGGCGATGTCGTTCTGCGTCTTCTCCACCGCCTTGGCGCGCTGCTCGTCCAGCTTCCTCTGCGCAAAGGAATCAAGGAATATATCAACAACACGCATCTTTCTTCTGTAATTCTGTTAGTAAAGCCAGTCGCCCTGTCCAAACTGAAAACAGTCAAGTTGTCGAGGAGGAACAGATTGACACGCGATGCAGCTGTTTATAGGGTGCTCAGGGCTCAGGACGAACATCGACCACGCACAATAAATAAACAACTTACGAAACCTGTCAAGCTAGTTTTTTCTTTCCTTGTAGAAATTAGTTGCATGAAGAAAATGAGTTTGTTTTTTAACAGACATGAGGCAAGAGGAAAATTGAACCCACTGTTTTCCTGCAACAGGACTGAATAACTAGAGCTACTCTGAAGACACATATGACCCCCTCTGTTTCAGTTTGCCCATCAGAATTCACATAGATGCTACCTAATTTCATCGATAACCAGCTTGAAATCATATTGATTTCTGCAAGACCACAAGCATGGTTGGCAATTTAGCGCATGTGCTTTGCTTGTCATGTTTTACTTTTTTTCCCCCTTTTTCTCCTGATGAAAGAACCGTTAACATCTAGTGTAGCAGATTTAGATTCGCCCAATTTAGAAATCAAAGACCATCGGCTGCATGTGTTCATCAGAAATCGAGAAACTGATTGTATAACTATATCCCCTAGTGTGCCGTGTCCGTGGGCGCGTCGTCGTAACTTTCACTATTTCTCGATCTTAATATAAAAGATGCGCAGATATTTTGCGTATTCGAAAAAAAAGGAAATTGAGAAACTGTTAACAGAGATTGCATCTAGTATTTGCGTTATTCAGATTAATAAATCATGGATTGATTGATGAAAATAAATTAAAGGGAGCGAACAAAAGGGTTATTATTTTGAGAGATTTTACCTCGATCTTCTTGAGCCATGCGGAGGCCTCCTCCACCTGCTCGGTCTCCCATCCGTTGATGACCACCTCCTCCCTCTTGAAGCGGTTGTTGATCTTGGCCACCTCGGCCGTCTGCCACGCCGACACCTTGGTCTCCACCTCCTCCTTCTTCACCTGGCTAGCCTCCACGTGCGCGGGCGGCTGCGGCGTCGGCGTCGGCGCCGGCACGACCTCCAGCCCGGCGGCGGCGGACCTAGCGGGCGTGGCGATGGGGTGGCTGTCAGGGACGATGGCCAGCGGGTTGGTCTCCTCCAGCTCGTCCTCGCCGATGCTGGTGAGCTGGTCGGCGCCGCCGTCGTACCCGCCGTTGGCGCCTCCGCCGGTCTGCATGGTCGCCCCGGCGGCGACCATGGCCGTGAACTCGCGGCTCATCGTCATGAACTGCTCCTCGGACGAGAAGGAGCGGTGGCTGGCGGTGTCCCAGGACCTGGTAAGCGCGGGGGGCGTCGGTGTCGGCGTCGGCGTCGGCGCGTCGGGCGTCAGAGGGTGGATGTCGCGGAACGTCGTGACCTCGACATCATGGCCACCGTCACCGTCGTCGTCGTCGTGGTGGTTGCTGGCCGGGCTCGGCGCCGAGGGCACTGGCGGTGGCGCTGCTACTGCCGGTGATGGCGGTGCCTGCTGCTCATGAAACATGTGGTGGTGGTCGTCGCCGCCGGGGAGCTGCCCGTGCTAGGCTCCACCATGCATGAGGAGAGCGTGGTGTGGTGCTGGTGCGTGCGTGCCAGTGCCTGTGCCCGGCTCGGCTCGGTGCGGACCACGGAGTTTATCAAGGAGAGGAGGATGGGCAGGCAACCCGAGCTGGGTCAGTCAAGTGATGGCCATGGCTGATGGGAAATGGGATGGGGTCTCTCGGCAGGCTCGTCCATTGGCGCGCGCGGGTGACACGTAGCTGTCGGGGGAATCGCCCAAGTTTCCTTCCGCTTCCGGTGCATGCACTGCAGTCATCACAGCGGCGTGGGTGTTCGTGTTCCAGCTGCATACCTGACTTCCCGTGCACCTGGAGATTGGGGACTGACTGGAGCTTGTTTAGTCCCATCCACAGATTGCCCGAATGTTTCTTGACACTGCCAGTTTGCAAGTTGCAGCACTTTTGACTGTGTGTGATTCTGATCACGGCTCTAGAGTGTGTTTAGATCCTGGTTTGAATTTTTTTTTTCTGTCACGTCAGATATTATATGGGATGTCCGAAGGGGTGTTCGGATACTAATAAAAAAAACTAATTACATAACTCATCTGAAAACAGCGAGACGAATTTACTAAGCCAAATTAATTTGTCATTAGCACATGTGTGTCACTGTAGCAATTAAGGCTAATCATGGACTAATTAGGCTTAAAAGATTTGTCTCGCAAAATCCATGCTAACCGTGCATTTAGTTATTTTTTTATCTATATTTAATACTCCATGTGCCCAAATATTCGATATAACAAAGTAAAATGTTTTTTTTTTTGACTAAAGGCCTCAGTAGAAGTACGCTGTTAATGAAAAGTTACGTAAATGTTGGTAGTAACTGACAGTGGCGCGTAACAGTGCGTTGATGGGCTTCTTTTACTAGCTGCTGGATGGATAAGATCCTTCCGTAGGAAGTTGATGGCTAGGGGATTGTTTAGTTACCCCAAACTTTTAACTTTGGCACTACATGTAAAAAAAGATTTTTCGTCACATCAAACTTGCGGTACATGTATGGAGTACTAAATGTAGATGAAATAAAAAACTAATTGCACAGTTTAGTTGAACTTTACGAGACGAATCTTTTGAACCTAATTAGTCAATGTTTGAACAATAATTCACAAATACAAACGAAATTGCTATCGTATTTACCATCACATCAAACACGGTGCAAATGACGATTCCAGTCGAACTAAACAAGGCCCAGAGAAGAATCTCCCATCGAGAAACTTCTCTTTGTCCTTTTTTTTTCCTCCAGTTTCTTGTCGTGTACCTAAGCACTGAACTGAAGCTTCCAAGCACTACTAGTAGTGTTAGTACTTGCGGCTTGTACAGATCAGTCAAGTTAAGAATACGATGAGCACAATTCACAAAAAAAAAAGGCTGCCCTTATCTACTGCCAATTTTTTTTCCTAAATTGAAACCTTGACAAGTTTGACAACTACTCCCTCTGTCCACGAAAGAATATAATTCTCGCTCCCGAAAAGTCAATCAGCTTGAACTTTGACCAAAATTATATAAAAAATATTAACATTTCTGATACAAAATTAGTATCATTAGATTAGTCATAGAATATATTTTCGTAACAAATTTATTTAGAGATATAAATATCAATATTATTTGCTATAAATTTGGTCAAACTTGAGCAACTTTAACCTGCATGAATTTCATAATTGCATTTTTTATGGATGGATGGGGTATATATAGTTAGAGCCAAAATTAGAGCAACCGAAATGCATGCATGGCACAACGAAAAACACACACGCTACTGCACTGTGCCATCACGTTCCACCCTGCACGGAGGTTTACGAATTGTATACTAGTACTACACTACTACTAAACCACCCTAGCGAAAGCAGGTAGGTGTGTGTCGATTAGCTACTAGTGTTGTTGCTTTATTATCTGCATTATTATCGCAATCGAGACGGAGCACTGCTAGAGAAGAGAAAAGATACCAGAAAGCCCAATCCACGCACGTCTTTTGAATCCGCCCTCCTTATCATAATCTTTACTAGTACGTACCTATGGACCAAGAACAGCGACCAAAGGTCGACGGGATTACTCTAATAATTCACAGTTGTTTATTTATCATACTGATAGATAAATAAATGAAGAGTTAAATGCATGGCAAGCTCCTGAACTTGTTTAGCTATGTTACTTAGGCCCCTGAACTCTAGAAATGCATTTCTGGTTCCTAATCTTGTTAAATGATACACTGGTGGTCCATACCGGTTCAGCTGGGCCTTTTCTCCGACGTGGCATTGTCAACTAACATCCGCGGTGGCTGGGGCTCATGTGAGCTGCACGTGTGGGCTGGGCATGGCGGGTCAATATGCGTGGAGGCCCCTGGAAATGTAGTCTTGTGCATTCTCAATCCTCTCCTCTCCTCCGTCCCAATCGATCCCCTCTCTGGCTCTCTCCGCAGGGGCCGCACAGCGCCGTCGTCGTGGACCCGTCGGACTGTGAGAGGAGGCGAAGAACGAGGCAATCGGCGGCGAGATTGATCGATCTAGCGGAGGAGAAGGCAATAGGGGCATTTGCTACGATCGGGTGCCCAGGAAGACCTCGGGTAGCTAGTATGATGGCACTGAAGGTGCGTTGGCAAGGGGAACCACCGCCCGTGTATGGTAAGTGTGGATTTTGTGCTGTAGACTAGGAATTAGTTGTTATGGGTTGTTATTGTTTTGGTTTGTTTGAGATTAGGACCACAAATGGTAGTGCATTTTGATTCTAGGGTTTGGGATTGTGATTCACGCTGTTATTGAAGTTCTTGCGGTTCTTGATTTCCTTGCGTTCTGGGTAATGTAGGTGATGATTCTGATGAGTTCTCAGTAGAGATACACCATGCTGGATTCTTTGTGGGAAAAGGGAAAAGCAAGGCGTATCTAGATGAAAAGGTGCACTGTATTGATCATGTAAAGGTTCAAACTTGGTATGTAATGTGGGTAGAGAAACTGAGCTTCATGCTTCATTACCCAAGGAGTTCAACCCTTAAGGTGTACTGGTTGCTACCTGGGAAATGTGTAGCATATGGACTTAGGTTGATTTTTTAGATAAAGACACATTGGTTATGGCATCCTTAGTTCACAAGTTCAAGACCTTTGTCCTTTATTTCGATCATAATGACTACCTATCAAGTCTCAACTGGAATGATATAGTGGCGAACCCATTGTCTGATCTGCCTAAGGTGATTAGCCCAGTGAAAGCAACATATGTCCAGCAGAACAAGAGTGAGAAATTACTAGAAATCTACAGCAACTTGAATTCACATTTAGATGATGCAGGTAGAACAACAGATGAAGGTAATATTGGTAGCAGTGATCAGCTCAGTGACAGTGAAGAAGATTTTGACTTTGTTGATTCTGACTATGAATTGGAAGATGACGATGATGATCTCTATGCTGACAATGTGGAAGATGATGTCGGTAGGAAGGGTAAGAGGATTGGCAAGGGAAGCCTGAAGCTACCAAGTGATGATGATGTATCAACTGATGATGATGGACTACAGCTACCTGACTCAGAAGAGGAAGGAGACATTAGGTTAGGTTTCAAGTCATTTAGACAAGAGGACATGCGCAACCCAATATTCAAAGTAGGCATGATGTTTGAGTCAGTTGAAATGGTTAGGAAGGCTATAACTGAGTATAGCCTCAAAAATAGGGTTGAAATAAAGATCCCTTGCAATGAACCTAAAAGGATAAGAGCTCACTGTGATGCAAATTGCCCCTGGTACTTTTTTGCATCTTATGATAGAAGAGGTCATGGTTTGCTAGTGAAGACTTACATTGGTGTTCATACATGCCAGAAGAAATGGAAATTGAAGAGGTGCACAACTAATTGGCTTGCTGAAAAGTATCTTGACTCTTTTAGAGCCGACCAAAAGATGAGCCTTATAAACTTTGCAAGGGTTGTATAGAAGGACTGGAATTTGACACCATCCAGGAGCAAACTTGCTAGAGCCAAGAGATTAGCTATGAGGAATGTATTGGGTGATGAGGCTGAGCATTATAAAATGCTATGGGACTATGCACAGGAGGTGAGGAGGTCCAATCCAGGGAGCACTTTGTATTTAAATCTTGCTGGAAACTTGTTCAGCTCAATGTATGTCTCCTTTGATGCATGCAAGAGGGGGCTTCCTTGCTGGCTGTAGGCCTCTCATTTGTTTAGATGGTTGTCATCTAAAGACAAAGTATGGTGGAATAATGCTAACTGCAGTTGGGATAGATCCTAATGACTGTATCTATCCTATTGCCTTTGGAGTTGTGGAGGTAGTGTCTCTTTCAACTTGGACATGGTTCTTGCAAACTCTAAAGGAAGACATTGGTATTCAGAACACATACCCATGGACTGTGATGACTGATAAACAAAAGGTGAAGCATTCTCTAGTACTTGTAATCTCATACTTATACCCATGTACTTTGATGTAATGAAAATTAATTTTGGCTATGACTTGGCTATGCAGGTGTTAATTCCAGCAGTATCTAAGGTGTTCCCTAAATCTAAGCATAGATTCTGTGTGAGACATCTTTACTCTAATTTTCAGCAGCATTTCAAAGGAGAGAACTTAAAGAACCAACTATGGCGCTATGCTAGATCAAGTTCTGTAGTGCAATGGAACAGAAATATGGAGAAGATGAAGACCCTCAATCTGAAAGCATATCAATGGTTGGAGAAAATAGCACCAAACACTTGGGTGAGAGCTTTTTTTAGCACATACTCGAAATGTGATATCTTACTGAACAACAGTTGCGAGGTATTCAACAAGTACATCCTGGAGGCCAGAGAAATGCCAATTCTTAGTATGTTATAACAAGTGAAGAACCAGCTGATGACAAGGTACTTCAGCAAGCATAAGGAAGTTGGGGAAGTATGGCAGGGTCCTATCTGTCCAAAGATTAGGTAGAAGGTGTGCAAGATATCAGAATGGGCAAACACATGTTTTCCAAGCCCTGCTGGACAAGGTATC